TATATAGAGGATTGTTATGGGTCTTGATGGAAGGCCCACGGATAGCAGTAAGGTCATGGGTCACTCCTTCCAGTATTTCTAACAGCTGTCTCACTCTCTTTGGAGATCTCTAAGGTGCAGTAGAAGTTCTGAATGGTAGATGCGGGACTGATCTCTAGACTCTAGATCTCTAGTCTCTAGGCTTCATCCTAATACAGTCATCTAGAACTGATAGTTGTCTACTCATATCGTAGGTGTAGACACCTGTCTTGTAGACTTCTATATTTGTTAGCTGAACCTTATCTTACATTTATGAATTTTCATGTCTAGAATAATTAACTAACATAGTGAAGCTACCATTCCTGAGAGAAAAGCATCTAGAAAAGCCCAAGTCTGCATTGTTTACAGATGATTTAGCATCTTGGAGCTGGCCAAATGTATGCTTGGCTGATGAAATGAAAGAGCATGTTTCCCATTTCTTGATTCACACTGCTGAGCTATGACAATTCATCAAAGATATATATATACGTTTCTGGAAAGTTCAACCTGCAACAACGATAGCTATTCATCAGTCAGAAGGGTCATCAACAGACTCAATTAATCACTTGTGCTCTATGTCTTTGAGCTGTTTCCCGGAAACTTTCACCAAAGGAACTGGAACTTGCTCAAATGCGCAGAGTGAGAATCTTTCTCAAGCTTGATGATGTGGGAGTGTTTCAGTTTATCTCATCCATTGAATAACCTTGAGAATTGTAGGAGAGTTTTTGCCTTTGCAGCTTGAGCTTTTATCTGACTCAGCCGCAGGCCTAAATCTTTGTTTGCCTTAGAACAGCAGTCATTCAAAATCACTCACTGTATAAAAATCTTTTCATGTAGATGCAGCCTTTTACCAGTGACGTTCACTCAGCATTTTAATGGGATACAGGGTCCTCTTAAATGCAGACAGTTTTCTATTGGCAGTGTGAGGCTTCAGACAAGACAAAGCAATGTAACCTCTCAGGAAAGAATGTGGTATCAGCTTCTAAGCTGTCTTGAGGTAGGCAGAGGTGCTGTGGAGTATAATGTTCATATCCAGCAGCTTGATTGAGCTCCAAATGCTAAAACATGTCCTAGAAATGCATTTGCAGTATTATTAACAGCCATTAGCTCACAGATGCTAGATTTACACGAGGGCATAATAACCCTTAGGAATTCTGAAACATCTGGTAAATGGGATCAGGAATGTAATTTTGGCTGTTTTCAACTCATCCACTGAGATGTGGTTCCTCCGAATCTGCTTGTGAGGTTTGATGTGGATCTGGGACAATTATAGCTACCTCTTAGTGCCCAGGACTGTGAGATCACCAGGACCTCAGATATCTCTTGTTGCATCTGAGTGCACTCGGTTTGCCTCACTGCTTTAATTGTTCCATAGCATCACAGCGATGCCAAGTCACTGTCAGGCAGCTGCTTCCACATTCCAAGGGATGAAATCCAAAATTATTTTAATTTTGAAACCTGCAGCTGAAATCACTGTGTTGTGATCACATTAAAAGGGTGACAATAACATCTTACATAGATTCATGCTTCTTTTTGAATAGCATTTGTTCCTGACTCCTAAATTAGGATTTGGGTGGAGAACTAAACCAAAGCGACAACATTCGTTTTCTATGAGCTTGTTTCTTTAACAACTAGGATACAGTACAGCATCGGTGTCTTCAGCCTGTGGCCAAGACGAAGGAGACGGTGCCTTTTCTTCCTTTTTTCCCCATGTCTGATGTAGGTCTAAACCAGTAGAACTTTGTTTACTACTTGGCCAAAAAAAAAGTATCAGCCTTGCAAGGGAAAGGCTCCAGGGTTGTATTGCAGCTGGGACCACCAGCACCTGAGGTTATCCCTTGCACACAGGTTGCTTCACAGATCATGGTGCCACCATTGCCAAGATTTCTGTGATGCCCTACTGCCACAATATGATATTCTGATTGTTTATGAAAGCTTCCTATGACTGTGATCATAGCTGGACTGCACATAAATTGCACAACACACAGTTCACATTAAAAAAGACTATTTTAAAAGCTCTATTTGTCACCCAAGGATGCCTACCTAGCAAACAAAAAGTACATATGTAATTTCAAATAATTTTAAAACCTAAGATTTTAATAGCTTCATGAACAAAATGCTACTGATACAACCTGGGAGGCTTTCATACCTCCAGTTGTTTAGATTGTAAAATGGCTGAATAGGGAGAGAAATCCTACTTCAGGAAGTGTGAAAAGGATTGGATATCAGGAAATACAAGCACATTGCTGAACAGTGCTTTTATAAATATCCTGACCTTAAATATCTTTTTTCATTTTGCCATTATCGTATTTAGAAACGACTTCAAATGTTCGTAGAAACCGTGTTAGATGCCACAATCGTTAGCCTGAGATTCTCCAATTACTTTACATCAGAACTCTGTCACTCTTCTCAAAAATGAAGACATCTGAGGCCAGAGTTTATTCTGAGATGTAATTTTGTACATATCGGGCTCACATAATTATAGAGTGATTATACATTTGGATGCACATTTCTGTGTTGCATTCTTAATATAGTTGGATTAATTACCTTGGAAAAAAATCAATGTTATTTCTATGTCTTTTAAAGCACATTTTTCCTGTATATTCCCATCACAATCTGTGACTACAATAATCACCATCAATAGCATTATGACACCCATATTCAATTTCAACATAAAAATTTAAGTAAGTTACAAGGATCCTCTCTTTTCCAGAGAAAAGAACTCCATATGAAGAAGCTCACCAATAACCAGCCCACACTTCAGATGGATTAGTAAGAAACTATATTTGAGTGCTGGATCTGAGAATGCTAAACCATCACAAGCAAGGAAAATCTCTTATGCAGTGCATTAGGTAATATGAAAATATTAGGAAAAATGAAGTTCATGTTACTAAAATCTCCTGAACTTCAGGAAGTCTGTTGTATCCTTTGTTCGCTTAATCAGCTAATTTAATTTTGCCTTTGGGAGCCAAACTGCATTAAGTTAAAATGGCAATGAGAATTGAGAATTAAAAAGCTGTTAGACTAATTTTTTTTCATAAAACCAATGCCAACAATCTACATTCTACTCCTTTCTTACAATTTACTTCTTTATATAAATTATCTGTTTATCTATTTGGCATCAGAAACATCATGCCAGCTGTAATATAAAACTTGAGGCACATTGTGGTGTTTTAAAAATAATGCTTTTCACAACCTTCATACTTCCTACTTGCAAAGTCCTGGAGAGTCCTACAGAATAAACTAGAGTTCAGGGTGATTTATTCTGACATATGATAATCCAGATAATTTCTTTGCTACAACAAAAGAAGGATGAAAGGAAATTTCCGGAAGACTCACTCGGGACTATTCTACCTACATTACTGGTGCCTGTGTGTGTTTCTGTGTCTGCCTCCTGTACTGTAACACACTAAAAGGATCCTGCTCTGCGGCTGTGGTCCATCCACAGTGGTCTGGGACAGACTAGGATATTCTCTTATCTTCACAGTGAGTCTGGCCACCATGAACTTGATTTTCTGCAGGGACGACATAAATCCCAAACTAGCATTTCTTCTATAAAGTCTTGGTGAGAAATGGAAGGAAAAATAATTGTGCACATGTCCTCGTACCAATGTGCAGCCTAACTAGTATCTGAGGAACAAGGACTGCTGGGGAGAGACAGTGCACAAAGACAGGGCTGCACAAACACAGGACTACAGTCACTGGTAATCAGTTGCACCAGTGGAAATCCCAACTGGATCTAAAGAACAAAAATCTTCACCATGACAGTGGTTAAGTATTGGGAAAGGAGCCCGCGGAGGCTGTGGGATGTCTGTTGTATAAAATTTCCCATGTCCCATGGATGAATCACAGAATCACAGAGTGGCAAGGGTTGGAAGGGACCTCTGCAGATCCCCCAGTCCAACCCCCCTGCTAAAGCAGGGTCACCCAGCGCAGGTTGCACAGGACATCGTCCAGGCAGGTTTTGAATATCTCCAAGAAGGAGACTCCACAACCCCCCTGGGCAGCCTGTTCCAGTGCTCTGTCACCCTCAAGGTAAAGAAGTTCTTTCTCATATTCAACTGAAACCTCTTATGCTTCAGTTTGTGCCCGTTGCCCCTTTACCTGTTGCTGGGCACCACTGAGAAGAGTGGCTTTGTCCTCAAAGCCCTGAAGCCCTGAGAAACCTGATCCAACCACAAAGTTAGCCCTGCTTTGAACAGGAGGTTGGTGACTGGAGGTCCCTGCTAACTGAAATTATTCTATTAATGTCTGATTGTCTTCTACAGGAGATGACAGCTGGTTTGGAAACTGAATTCCTCTTCCTCCAAAAATATTTCATCCATACGTAGAGCTTATGTGACCCTCCAAACCTTTAAGACTGTGATTTGCAATCTTTATCAATTAGTGGACATGAAAATATTTCCAGTGGTGGTCCAGATCTTAAGAGCAGCTTTAAATGTCTTCAGAGAAAGTTTCTTTTATTTAGTTAGTTTTCACAGATTCTTTATTAGTAGGCCACAGATGCCTACGTGTCCATATGCCACACTGAAAACTCCTGTTTTGATGGTTCTAATGAGAACAATGTTGGATCAGACTCGACTTTGATTATTTTGCAAAACCATCCTTTCTGAAGAAAGAAATTTGTACTTAGTAGTCTGTGCTCTCTCTGCCTATCTCTTTTTCTTTCCATGCACAGACTCCCCTTGAGTAAACAGCCTATAAACCAAAGAACATTACATCCCATTTTTATGTAGGAGAGCAGAGATATTTTCTCCCATAAAATATTGTGAAATGGGAAAAAATAAGCTGCTTGGCATTGTTAGAAAGAAAAATTACAAGAAAGTTTTATCTGAGAAGTTTATCTTATAGAGCAGATGTGTTACACATTAACGCAGAAAGTAATATGGAAAAACATACGCGTTCATGGAGAGAGTGAGACTCATAAATCTATGTCTCATTCTACTTCTCATATAAAAGAACAGGGAAACTGTCTTAATTACCTGTTTCCATTTTCCCATCTTGTGCTGCAGGCCCATCAGGAATTACACTCTTCACCTGGAGAAACTCATCCGGCTCATCCCCACCAATGATGGTAAATCCAAACCCCATGTTGCTTTTCTTAAGAGTTGTGCTGAGGAAAGTCCCCTTCAGCTGTGATGCATCACGGGTGAAGAGTGGTTTTTCTACATCAGTCAACACAAACAAGAAAGACAAAAGTTCTGATCTAGTCATGACACAGCAGGGACAGCAAATAACAATATTGGCTGAAGCAGGAGACAGTGTATGAAAATCAAGGAAATAAAGAGTGCAGGCATTCCAGGCAAAAAAATATTTGTGAGTTCTTATATTAATACAAAGCTTAAAACATATTTCTTATCTATGGCAGATCAACCATAACTGGGGAGTTATAAATGTTCTTTCATATTAGAAATACATTTAGAAGTGGATATTGTGTAGCTAAAATAATTACAACAATAAAAATGATCTGTGAGGTAATTTTAAAACCTCTTTCCTGACCTATAAATTCAGCTTTGTCTACAAAGTAATACATTCTCCATAATTTCCCTCCGACCCGCAATAAGGAACATTTCCCCTGAATATCTTACTCCATTTGTTGACAAGCAGTGCTAAATATTAGGTGAGCTTTTCATTCTAAAGACGTGGGGTTTTGGCATCCAACAAGTGACACACGTAACTGCTGTGCAACCTTCGCGTCCCCATTCCGCGTGCCTCAGTGTGCAGTGTGGGTGGCGGGGGGCTCCCCGTGCCTCTCTCCTGTGCTGTGCTTGGTGAGGAAGGGTGGTGGGAGGAAGGTGCAAAGGTTGTGACTTCAACTGCTCTCGTGACGCCGGCAGCAGTGGGGCTGGGCTGGCCAGCAGCGGAGGACGTACCGTGCAGCCTGCGCGTCCCGGCGGGGTCGCGCCAGCACTGGGACAGGTCATTCACGCTGCGGGACCTCCTGGGAGCGGGGCGCGGGTGGGCGAATTTGGGTCTAGGTAAGGTTGATGAGGAGCTTTCTACTGTTACAAAGGAGAACAAGCCTCATTCTCTGGCTATAACCTTACGTTAAAGTTTATTTGTCTCTACCAATACTGTTTGCTGCTTATAGAGCTCATTCTAAGCACACGAATTTTTATGTTACCAAGAGGCTGTATTCTTGTAAACTCCTATAACACAGTGCTTGAGGCTTTTAACTTAATTGATGCTTGCTAGATGAGCTAGCTTAGAAACATACCAAACATCAATTAACAGTAATTTAGAGAAAGTACAATTAATTATTTCAGTGTTGCCAACCTCGGGTGCTCGAGAAAGAGTTATACATTCCCAAGAATAAAATTCATGATTTTATTTGGAAAATTACTTTGGGGTTCTTATTGTGCTTTCTGTTTCTCAGCCTCTAGGAAACACAAGGGTCGAACTTTCTGTCTTTTCTCTGTGCCTCTTGGAGGTTAGAGTATTTTAGGTGGCTTGTGAATCCCACAGCTCTGGGAGCTCGGACGTTTAGGGATAAAAACACTAGGAGATAGGTGATAACAGTGTGAGAATTGGCAACACTACTTTTTTAATCAGACTATGACAAAATCGTTGTCACATAAACAGGAGAGCAGGATCTTTCATCTTAACTAAGATAGCTGACACAGTACTGTACCTCGGAAACCTTGGGCCTGCATAGGCTTTGTTCCAAGTTCTGCGTTGGGCATGTTATGCTGCTGTAGCTTCCTTTTTGCTTCTAGGACAGGGTTTTCAAATTGTGTTCTTCTATTTATGTGGCTGGAAAAAATTTGGTTTTGATTAAAAACTGGGTTCAGTTGGGGAAAATGATCATTTTCACAGTAGGATGCTGTATGTGACTTAGGTGTGTGTGGTTAAGAGAGCAAAACCATTATGAAACCCCAATGGGCCTGAGTATGTCCCTTATACTCCACACAATTTTGTTGGGGATGAGAAATGCACAATCTAGCACACTGCATAATGAACAGCACTGAGAAGTGTCCTATCATTTCAATATGCTGAACTCTGCTACAGACAAATGGTTTTGATCTATGGGACTACATATTAAATAGCAGTACTGCTGAAGCATGCTACAATGACGGTTTTTCATGTCTTTAGTACAAGCATTGTTCTGTGCATGATTCAAAGGATCTGAACCAGTTTTGTGCGTTATTATTGATTAGCTGTAAGTGAAATCACTTAATAACTTACAGAAAAGGTAAAACCTAGAACACAGAGTGCTTTTATGATTGCAGCTTAGAAATAAATCTAACATAGGAAATAAACTGAAGTTGATTTCTTTTTAATTCTACAGTATATATCTGCTCAGCTGTACAGAAAAATTTGATGTTGCAAAACCAAAGTCAGATTGTAGATTAGAGCTACATAGATAAATCTATGAAATATAAGAAAAGTTAATGTACACATTTTTTTCTTCATCTTTTACATTTCCTACAACAGGTCAGTAAGTATATCTCTATCATTGCACCACTATTTTTCTGTAATGTGTTTAGAACTACTATCTTAACTACATACTCTCATCATATCCTTGATTTTAATTCTTTCATTTAAAGCACACATTTTATCAATTAATGAGTAATCCTATAATCCTGCCCTGTGACATGTTTCACGTATTTTCTGAAGAAGGGAAAACAATTAGGTAGGTTGCATTGAACAACTCTGCAAGATAGGATCATGATAGGATCAAAACTGAGAAAAGGGGCTTGTGCTGCAAACGTTGTTCTGGGGAAATACATACATATGTACAGAAGGGCAGATTTGCAAACATGCCACTGTATTTATTCTCACTGCGCTACTATGTATTGAGTTCTTCTGAAAATCCAATCCCAATCATGGGCTTTAACCACTTGGAGAGGTGACCTGGGAACTTCTGAAACTCTGAGATCCTATAAAGGGTTGAATAGCTTAAATTTATATTGAAATGACCTTTTATGCCACATTAAGCACTTTTCAGGTCCCTTGGGATTCAGATCCTACCACTGCTTCAAAGAAAGTAAGTGGAATTGCCATTAAGAAGTGAGGTAGAGAAAAGAAAGCAAGTCCCATGGGAGTGCAACACACTTGGAAGATCAGGATTTAGTGGCCAGAGCTAATGCAATGAAAAGATTTCCAGTCATGGAACAGGATATTTGATTTAATGAGAGGAAGTAAATGCGATAAATCCTGAAGTTGCTACTTTGTTAACACGGCTGTAACTCATTCAAGTGGCCACTAACTTACTCTTGTACTCTAAAATTTTGATAAATAGTTTTCTTGTAAATTTTAATCTGTGCTGCAGAGAAACAAAGTCCCTTTTGTTTCTTTTTTTCTTCAGACAAGCTGTTGAAGATTGTAGGCTTTCCTTTCCTAGACTTCTGCTTTCTAGTTAAACCGTGCTATAATTGTCAGGGTCTTCAGCACCTAAGTCTATTGCAAACCTAGAAACATATGATGGGAGACAAACTTCACCAGTTAAAAATTAAGAAAGACAACACTTATATGTATTAAATAGGGTAATTATGAACACTATGCAAGCATGAAAAGGGTAGTTTTCATGCTACCACCTATTGTGATGTATGTCAATATTGTAAAGGAAATCCAAATGGCTGCTTTTGCCATTCCACAAGGCAGTATGAAACATCACATGACATACTACGTAAAATTCTGATCACCCATGACCAAATAAAATGTATCCATATAAAAGGTTTTACAGGAAGACCAGTGAAAGAGAGAGTCTTCTATGATAGAAGACCAAAGGAGTTTTAGCTTTTTATTCAAGCAGAATTAATTCTGATATATAATTGCATTCTGTGAATACACTTGGAAGTAAATGCTAGAATGTATTAAAGATGTCAGGAATTCAGATTTGAAATCTGTAGGCTTCTTACAAGTGTGAAATTATGAAACAACTTCCAATAGCAGATATGGGGTAAAATATCTTGCTTGGTTCACGTTAGCATTTGATAAAGTTAAAACCAGAGTTGCTACACATTGGGTTAATTGCTTCAACATAGGGATCATGTTTTATTTTAGAGGCTCTGAAGTATCCTGCCCTGGTCTTCAGCTGCCCTTCCAGAAGAGCACGGGTTTCCCGTAGCTTTTGTGCCATATTGAGCAGAGGTAATGGATATCCAAGATCACACTACAGGTCTGCATTTAGGACCTTAAACTATACTTAGTGTCATGCTGTAATTCTAGGACACATCTCAGTGCTGCAGGAGGCCTCTTGCAGACCTAAGTTACAACTTATATGTGGTTCTGTGACATAAAAAAGGATGGGATTTTAGCTAATATAGGGTCTGACCACGGCTCAAGGAACATCAGTTCCTGTGGTACTAACATCACAGCTAGAATCTGTTATCCACTGCCTCTCTACTGTTTCTAGGTAGAGTTTAAGTTGTGGTTTAGTCCATTTACATGGAAATGTCTTCAGTAATGGGTATCTTGTAAATGACATTTTGTCTTAGCAGAGCAGACAGGAAGACTAGCAGAGGTACTTGAAGCACCTCAAGCTGTTTGTGCAACCGTAATAATTCTTAGCTCCAATTTATTCCCATATTTTGATTTTTTCATGGTAATGTTCAGTCTTGACAGCACAATGTGAGATTTTCAACAAATTCAAACCACTGCATTAAATATTGTGTCCAAGAGGAGTCAAAGAAAAGAAAATTATGCTGATAATCAGCTGTTTTCATCAGCCAGTAACACTAGATTTATGCTCCTAGCCTGATGAGACATGAAACACCACCCTTTCATGCAGTTTTAAGTGTTGTACAGATTCATGGCTAAATCAGAAAAATTGCTACTGATGAGTTTACCTGAGAAAGAAGTTATTAAGCTAAGTATTTCCCTTGAAAGGACATTCTAGCCTTTCATCTAGCTACTTCAACTGCATACAAAATAGATATTACTAACCTAAGCCTTAATAAGACAAGCCAAATGCAAGTTTTAGAGATGGTTGCAAGTAAGCGCTTTTGTGGTTAAAATAGATTTTGGATGTGATCCAAAAATGTATTGCTCATTGCTCACAGTATCTAATTCAGTGAGCATTTCTATCTTCACTTTTCCTCCTTTATTTTCTACAATGCATATTAAATATAAAAGCCTAATTCAAAGACAAGAATCCTACTAATTTCTCCTAGTGCCATTGTGGCTGTACAGAAGAATCATGCTGCCCTTTGTTTGCTTTCTAATCCTAGGAACCCTGAATTTCCCGCTGCAGAGAAGAAGGGGTACCTGGTGCTGCTGTCCTCTGTTAGCTCGCCGCACGCTAACTGGGGACAACCCCTCAGAGGTAGGATTTGGTTTTGGGCTACATTTAGCCATAAAGTTGAAATAGTATCTCTTGTGTTATGAGTAGGTACTGTCACCACCAGCCAGCCTATACAACACGGGCACCATTCTGCCATCTCATCAGTGAATGTAGCCAGGCTAAGTTGTTTTTGTGATGGAGTTTCATATTAGATGTGCTTAAGGCAACTGAAACACATTTTTAGGAGATTTATGGGCAGTAGTGCCTCGTACACAGATTTTAGTTGATGGCCAAGATACTGAGCCCTGCCAAAATGGTAGCACACCTAAGCACATGCATCAGCAGAAGGAGTTTAACCTATCTCTTTTTCTTAGCTACTTTAACGTATGGGGTTTTGTGGTAGTTTGTGACTCTAACTTTCGAAATGGTTGCCTATAACCCACCAAAGTAATTCTGAGGATCAGACCGCCTAAAAGATGGACATCCTGATGCATAACTCATTAGTGCCTAACCCCTCTTTACATTCATGTTTTTTAATTGCTAATACTTTATAATGACAAAAAGACCTGGAATAAGTTTTTCTATTTGAGTAGTAAGAGAGTGTTGTCAGAAATTTTAAGTCAAGGATGTATATTTTTCCAGAATAAATACCTGTATGACTAATCTGACTGCTTTATTAAGGAGACCATGACTGGAAATTTAGCTCTGTGTTGTAGTTAATCATCCTTAGAAGGGGTAAATAATCTTTTGGCAATTAGAATGCTGAAAGACCCAGTGCACTCTAATAACCACATTCTCTCTATATCCCTGCACAGTTAAGTGCTGCTAGTTCTTAGTTTATAAAGTTAGAGAAAACTGCATGAAAGTTAGCCTACGTATAGCAAATGCTTCTCATTTATGTCAAATGTCTATGCCTTTCAAAGGAATCCTGGACCTGCACAAGGCAAATGAAAATTTTAATAATGTTTTACACCTACATTCATGCATGATTAAGAGAGGAAGTTATACTGGGGACCTTATTTTTTAACAGAATTTGCAAATATGCTGTGATTAGTCTTTATTAACTTTGCTAGCAAGACCTTTGAGGTTTTTCTTTCTTTTTTAGCTTTTCCTCTGGTCGCAGAGTATTGGAGCTGAGCATGGCTGGCCCTTGTAAGGCGAACCCGAGTCTGTCTGCCTCATTGCTCATCCTTACAAGCTTCCCATGGGATACAAATATTTCATCAAGCAGAGTACTAACCCATCTTTCACTGACAGTTTTAAACACCTGCATGTAAAGTTGGACTGGACTTGAATGTGTGAAAGTTCATAACCTAACTTTTCATGATTTACCCACTTTTATGACATAATTAAAGGAGTTTATTGTAATCTGATTTTATCTAGCTAAAAATTGACTCATCTGTTGAATACTGGTAATAAAACAGGTGTGACTGCCACTTTTTAGCATGAAAAATGGAAAGCAATCTTTATTTCAAACTTATGGAGCTCAGACAGCAAATTAAAGTACAGCTACATTTTACTGACTATAAAACTGCTTATGAACTTAGCACGGCTGCAGTTTTAATGCCATCCTGTGGACATCCATTCCACTTCTAAAAACTTCTGAGCCTGCAGAAGGTTTCATATATCTTTCCTCAACCTTATCTGTGGTAGAATTAATAAATTTGGCACTAACAACCTTAAAGTATGTAATTGCATAACATCTGGGCCTGGTGCCTTGCATCTGTTTACCTGTGGATGGACATGAAATGGAGATAAATACTGGTTCCTTTTCTGACTCTGCAGTGAAGTGTGAGCCTCACCGGTGCCAGAATGCCTTGGGCTATGCTAACAACAAAGCGGGGTCTCAGTAAGAGATTAATGCACGGAAATTGCACAACACCTGTTACTCACCAAAATACACTGAAAACCACTGGGGCAGACGGCTCTTACTCACACCCAGCAGCTGCATAATTGCACGTGCAGAAATCTTCAGGGGGGGTTAAGTACAAAGAGATAAGCGAACTCCAGCCCCTAGTTAATTGGGGACGTCATAAAAGAACTCAGGCATAAAGAGAGAGGGTAATTTAATGGCATTACGTAGGGACTTAAAAAATGTACTCCTTTTTTTTTGCTTGAATCTGGACTGACTAAGCTGATTTGGGCTGAGCAGCAAAGCAGATGGGGCTGCTGGCTCTTTCACCTGCGGGCAGGGAACAAGCTGGGGACAAAGAAGCAGAGCAGGTGCTACTACATTTGAAGAGTGGGACAGAAGGAGTCAGCAGGGCAGTGGCCAAACATTGTTTCATTTGTTTGTGTGCTTTGTTGGGGTGCTAGGGAAGGAGCATGGGCATCCACAAGCTGCTGCTGCTGCGGCAGTAAAGAAAAGGGAATCTTACTCATAGAATCATAGAATCCTAGGTTGGAAGGGACCTCAAGGATCATCTGGTCCAACCTTTCTAGACAAGGTGTTCCAGCACCCTGTCCAGCTGCATCTTAGAAGTGTCCAATGTGGCAAAGTCAGCCACTCCCCTGGGGAGATTATTGCAATGATTGACTGTTCTCATCATGAAAAATTTCCCTCTCATGTCCAGTCGGAATCTCCCCAAGAGCAACTTGTGTTCATTCCCCCTTGTCCTCTCCATGCGACTCCTTGTAAAAAGGGAGACTCCGTCTTCTAAACCTCCAGAAATCAGATCTATTTTGTGAGTTCTCTGTCCAGCTCTACCCTGTGCATGTTAATAGTAGCATATCCTGAGGTCTGGAAAAGCCAGCAGCTTTTCCAGCATACTGGACAGTATCTGTCCAGAATGATCCTGCAGTCAATGTGTTGGTATGGATTTGAGAGACGAAGGGAATAATGTGACACACAAACTAAAATTTTCTATTTTGTATGAAACAATTAGAAACATGTACTGCTTAAGCGACAGGATTTGAAATCGAGATTTTCAGTTAGGAGCCATCTCCTCTAAAGATCTCTCTTGTTTAATAAAAGGAACTGATGGATAGATCTTTCTCAACCTTTCAAGTGCTGCCTGAACAGTGGTGGGGAGTGGCTTTCTGCCTCCTCTGTTATAAACTTTGTGTATAGAGCAGAGAACTGACCACTCCGAACAGGTATCACAATTTTGAATCTAGATTCCCTTTGCATAAGTCTCATTCACTGTGTTAAACTGAAAAGCAGAGAAAATCATCTCTTTGATTTACTTATTTTATGTAGGAACTGGCCAGAACAGGTTCTACCCAGTACTTCAGACAAAAGATTTCTGTTGCCCTTTGCACAGAGGAGTAAGAATCTTTTTTCTTGTTTCGTGACTCAAATAAAATCTGAAAAAAATGAAAGCAAGGATTGTGCTGTGAAAATAGGAATTAATATTCTCTCATTTTCAGCTGCACTTTTAAGTACAAAATAAACCACAACATCCTTAAAATTTTATATGCAATGTATAAATAATCTACCTTCTGGTACAAACAGTGTAAACCTCTGGTTGCAGCAAGGAAGGATTACCCAGCGAAGGATCTTAACTGAGCTAAAATGATTATGCTTTGCTTTATTCATTGATTAGAAGATCTCTACCTCACTGGATATCCAAATCTTACTTAGAAAATAAAGCATTTCTTTAATGAGTATGATCTTTGTACAGGTATTGGCTGGAATGATACCATGAAATCAGACTCTAGAGAAAGAGAATGACTGAATGCCTGAGTCACTGATTTGAGACGCATTGGATATATTTGGACACATTAGCTGTATGGATGACTGAGAATTCCTGGTATAACCTCGGTTTAACATGTCAAGTAATTGTACCCATGCCTTGCCAGGCTAAGCACTGCAGAGGATACCAGTATTAGGTTATGACATATTAACAGCAACTTAATATTGAACTTGGGAACTTACTCAACATAATAAGTGCCATAAATGGGATCATCAATTTTCTCCCAGCCATATGGAAGCTCTGAAAAACAAAAGAGTTATCTCTTTCAGTAAATGCAGTACAGAATGCTAAGATTTCTAATAACAAAATTGTGGATCTTTGCTGGGTGTTGAGGGAAATAACTTGACAGTGAAATCAGATACAGTGACAAAAGCAAAGGCCAAATCTTGAACACACACCATGGCAGCCACAAGTAGTAGTAACTTGAAAATTGGCATGCAAACACAGATCTCAGTCTCTAGAACAACACATTTTAGTTGAACTACTTTATTGTTCCAACAGCTGTGCCAGCCGACAACTGCAGCACATCTTGTATGACATCACCGCCGGAGGAAGTGAGGGCATTCTGTTTTCCCAAATAGGTACACACAAAAAAAGCACTTTGCTTTTTGGGCTTTTTTCTTTGCTAGGAATCCTGGAAAAGTTGGTCTAGAAGGAAGGGAGTTTGCCTCCTGCCATGCAAGTACAGCAAGCATACCTAAACGTTCCTGAGAAGCTTGTACTATTTGTCTCACTGTGCTGGGAGTTCTACAGTCACCAAAGGCATGGTGTTCCAAAGCTCAGGTGTATATCAGAGACACCGGAGTACATAGTAGTACATGAAAGTACAAATCAAAATAAGATATTATAGCACCTTCTGGCAATAAAACTAATTACATTTTGCAGAACTAGAGATCCCTAAAACATTCTGATATTAACAATTAAAATGTTAAATACATTAATTTAATGATCTCAAAAATCAATCTGTGTTCACGTACAAACAAAATGTCACACATATATTCACATACATATTTTATTACCACTCACACTGAATGCTTAAAAAAATATTATACTGCCAACAGAACTTCATCTTGTGTTTCAAAGGCACCAGACGGATGTGACAAGTATCTCAGTTGACACGAATGGAGTAAAAACCTCAGTGCCAGATACGATGACTTTGATGGAGGAGACTCACAAAAGGGTGGGCATTCCCATCACGCACAGGTATTGATTTCTGTGCAGTTCAAGACTATGGCACAATATACAGGGAGTGGTACTAAGATTCTATAAGGAAATTTGATTCTCGCATTCTTTACCTCAGGTTTTTTTTTTTTTTTCCTTTTTAAACTCAGTTACACTTTTAAAGTAACTTTTCAGAGACTGTGAGTACTGCATTAGACAGAGCAGAACTGATGTAGCTTATACTGAACTCAGTCATTAAACTGGCCATAAAGAAGTACTCCCAGACGGTTTGAGCTTTTTTTTTTCAGTGACAATGTGAATAGACAACTATTGATGTGCTCTAAAAGACAAATAGGAAAGTAAAGCCTGACTGGCAATAAGGAGATTAAAGAGTTAAAAAACAGTTTTAAGAAATGGCTTCATCTCTACTTATTACTTCTCATTTAAACACCTCTGTAATATCTGATCCCTTCTAGAGTGAACCTGCTTAGACGGCTGTGGTCTTCATGTCACATTACCCTCAGAGGATGTTCCTGCTCAGCGTATTCCAATACTGCAATGAAGGGTACAACTTTCTGCCAGAGGCTGGCAGATGAGGAACTCCATGTTACCTCTTTTATAATGAAAAGCTCAAGGACTTCTTTAATGTTGATACTCATTTTTTCCTATTTTTCTTATAATATTGTTAGTTTTGAAATCTTCACAAGTCCACACTCAGAACTGCTTTTGTCATTAAAGTTTGCCTGCACGTTGAACTGCTTTGTTACTGTCACTTCATAGGAATAAATGCAGCGTAAAGTGTTTAATCAGGTCACAGAATCACAGAACGGTTTAGGTTGGAAGAGCCCTCTGGAGATTGTCTAGCTCAACCCCTCTGCCCAAAGCAGGGTCACCTAGACCAGGTTGCTCAGTACCGTCTCCAGTTGGCTTTTGAGTATTTCCAAGGATGGAGACTTCACAACCTCTCTGGGCAACTTCTTCAAGTGTTCGATCACTGACAGGGTGAAGAAGTTTTTTCTTATTTTTAAGCAGAATTTCCTGTTTGTACCCTTTACCTCCTGTCTTGTCACTGGGCACCACTGCTTCTGTCTTCCTTGCACCCTCCCCACAGGTATTTATTTAGATTGGTAAGATCCCCCTGAGCCTTCTTTTCTCCAGGCCAAACAGTCCCAGCTCTCTCAGCCTATCCTTACAGGAGAGGTGTTCTAGTCCCTTAATCATCTCAGTGGCCCTTCAGTGGACTCTCCTGTATGTCCATGTCTCTCTTGTACTGAGGAACCCAGAATTGGATCTGGAACTCCATTTGTGCCTCACCAGTGCTGAGTAGAGGAGAAGGATCATGTCCCTTAATCTGCTGGCAATGCTGTGCCAGCCCAGGAGGCTGTTGGTCTGCTTTGTTGCAAGGGCATGTCACTGGCTCATCGTCAAGTCACCGAGCACTATAAAGCCTTGGTGTTGCTCTTTCCAGATCAGCCTAGAACTTCAGTAAAATCTGTAGGAGATTGACCCTACAATGGTCCCACAAAGTCATCAAATCATAGAATCATAGAATGATAGAATCGTTTTGGTTGGAAAAGGCCTTTAAGATCAAGTCCAGCTGTTAACCTAACCCTGCCATCCCACCACCAAACCATGTCCCTAAGCACCTCACCTGCCCGTCTTTTAAATGCCTCCAGGGAGGCAAATTTACTGAGGGTGCACTCAATCCCAAGTCCTGCATACCCTGAGACAAGACTGTGGGTTGTACTACATAAGTATTCAAAAATAAAGCAGCACTGCCCCTACAGTAAATTTCATTATCATGCATGCATGATAAATAAGGCTTCTTTTCATAATTTGCTATGAAAAAATGATGCTTTTACATAACCCTATGACATAGAATAAATATAAAATATTAGTTTACATACAGGAGGCATATTTTATTTTCATGTAACCTTGCAAGGTTTTCTTCACCTAATTAACTTCATGAAGCTTTCATATTTGGCCATCTAAAATTACACTCCCCTTGAAAAAAGTGAGGCAGGTACTGGTAAAATCTACACATACTTAAAAATACACATAAACATGCACTGACACACACGCTTACAAATGTGTGCACAGGTCCCTTTCTGAAAGTGCATTAGTGGATGGAGTTTTTTCCAACTACAGAATTAAAAAGAGAAAGTAGATATTTTGCCCAAATTTAGAAGCCAGTATCTTTCTGTAGATAGAAAAACTTCAAAGTGTATAGGTGCAGAGGACATATTTTATTTTACATATTTAAAATCTAAAAAAGCTGAAATAATTTGAGGATTTGCTATTAACCTGTTGGCCTATTTTTTCCTAAAGTAATGATGCATAACTGTATTTACGAACTAGCACAACTATTGAGAAGGCAAATGGCAAATTCCATTTTCTAGTGTAAAAGTCTGTAAAAATTTAATGAATTGGACATATTATGGAGAACCCAGTTTTAAATGCATGGATTGAACCACTGATTATCTAATATCATAAAATAGTCATGGATTCAGAAGAAAGGAAATAAAAAATTACCTGCATGTACCTTAATAGATATAAACTCCATGTAAGGCTATGCTCTAATTTCATTTTTCCATTTGAGATGCAGCCTGCAAGCTATGTTTAATTAAAATTCTGTGTTGGCCAGTAAAATGGAATTGCTAGAGCACAAACCCCAAGCCCCCTGCTCCCCCCCCCAAGCATGGCAGATAAGGTTAGTGGAGTGTAGTTTACTACAGAGCCTCTGTTAGAAGACTCTTCTGCTACATTTGCTTTCAGGATTATTTTTCATTACATTAAATGAAATCTATTCCATTTTTCACTATTGAAATGAAAGATTACTGGACAGAAATCCTTTAGTGCTTCATCAAATAGGAAGCTAAGTGTTTGCCAAATTAGGGGTGAGGGCATTACAGTTTCTTTTTTTCATTTCACTGTGCCCAGTGATGATCATTAAAGATGAGAGTGAACAGTAAACATTCATAAAAGAGAATTGTTATAATACATTTGTAAAGGCTATTGCTATTGGCCACCAGGATTTGAACCGGGAAGGGAGCTATAATTTATAGCATCATCTGATATTCATTCAGTAGCATGCTATTTCATGTATAATTTCTGCAGCCAACGGTTTCATGGTTACTATGCTATATATGTGGCATTCATTTTCATGAGCTCAACTCTTCTATCATTCATGCCTTTCAATTCTGTTGACTCCAGGAGGATTTCTCTGTATAAAAGGAAAAAAAAAAAACCCCTATCCTTTATTTTCAGTCTTCAATATCTGACATTGCCTTCCCACGGATCTCCTTGTGTCATCCAGTGGAGGGTCTGTTCAGGAACATTTGTAAAATCGCCATTTCAAAATCAGTAATTGTGTAGCATTTGGCAATGCTGATACCATGAGTGGATAGAAAGGTGCTGGATAACCTGTATAGTACATATAGATGCTCCAGTTTTGACATTTCATGCTTTATTCCTTACCAGAGAAGTAGCATATAGCTAACACTGCAGCAATCATCCAAAAAAAAAAAAAAGATAAAAAAGGCACAGCTGATACTCAGACACTTTGCTCAGTGTGCATCTAGGTAAGCTTTTAAATGCAGAAGATGATGCATTTCTAAAAGTTAAATGCCCAATGGTAACAAAGATTCTTGTATTTTCAAAGAAAGAAGGAAAGGAAGAAGGAAAGGAAAAAGGAAAAAAAGAAAGACTAAGGTAAATTCAAGCAGGTCACTTTAATAATCAGTGATAGTGCCTTCACATCACAGGCTGCTTATGCTAACAGTCCAGATGCTCTTATTCTGCCTTCTGAAAGCTGTTGTGTTTTAGAATGATTTTTGATGGTGCCACTTAACCTTCTCTGGGGATGGAGGAAGGAGTACATTTTGGATCCCAATGTGCTGAGATGAAAAAGCATATTGCCAAACCCAAAGATTAATTTTTCTGAAGTTTATTGAGTGCTAACTGTGTTAAAGAGAGTCATAAAAACCTCCCAAGGTTTCAGAACAACAGCCAGCACTGTGTCACTACCCTGCTGACAGGGTGGGAAGAAAGATGAGAGCATATTTCTTGAATCGGCTGCA